AAGAGCTGTTTACTGGGGCACATGGAACGTGCATGGCCAACTTTGCTACTGTCAAGATGCTAAACACTAGGTTGACTGAAGGCCTACACGTCCTTTTTGGCTATAACATATACAGGGACATTACTGTGGCAGCCGGTGCATTAATAGCCAGGGCCTTTGCAGCTGGAACTTGGATATGACAGTCTGCTTCTACAGAAGCTTAAGCTGGAGAGTGGGAGCAGGTTCAGCAACTGCATGCTGAGACTGGATGCTGGAGCTGCAGAAAACCTGATTCTATTTTATTCTGGCACTTTGCCCTCATAGTTATTTCTCTTAGATTTCTTTTTCTCCCTGGTAAATTTTGGGAGTGCTATGTTAATGGAAGTATCCATCTTCCACGTAAGACCAAGCATGCTTATCATCTTTATGGCTATTGAAGATACCATGGCATTAGCATCTGTTGGCGCAGCAAGATTGCTGTCATCTGGTAAAGCTCTTCTGTGTTTGTCCTGCAAATTCTTTTGAGGGAATTCTATCCACAAGTCAAGTCATTTGCTGATTCTACATACTTTCCTCTTTCTAGTAATCCTAGATCTAGGTCATCTGGCTACCTGTCTGGCTCATGGGAGGGAACCTTACTGTGAGAACGGGGGCATGTGGCTGGTCTTCTTGCTCTCATTCAGCAGAGCAGATGTGTTGATAATGGGGCAAAAAAATTTACTCTCCTTTCTTGACAGCTTTGCAAGGATTATTTTTAAATCCTAAAACTGTCACCAGCACGAAGCCTATGTTAGTCTGTATGCACAGCTAAGCATAACTTTTTCTCAACACAACAGACCAACCAACCAGCTGCACTTTTGCCTCTTGAGGAGGTTTCTATCTTGTCAAAGGGTACGTAGCATAGCAGTGTGAGAGAACAATGGAGATCTTGCAGTGATCTCTGTATCTCCTTCCTTGCTTTCACCCATGCTGTGAAGGGGGTTTTGAGCAAGCCCTCCCCACCATGACACACACGTGTGTATGCTGCTCTGGGTGGACTTCTGTAATTCAACCAAACTGTCTCTCTGGGTCGCAGGGTTTGCTCATCGACCTAATAGTCTCGGGAAGGCCAGTTAGCACTTGGCTCCATTGTCTACACAACAGCTCCTCTGAGGACATGGAGAGCAGAACAGCCTGCATGATTACATTTTATCTTCCTGGATCACTGCCCTTCTCTTGCTAACTGCTCTTCCAGCATCTCCAGGCTACTTGTTCTTCATTCCCTATCAAGAGGACATGAGACAGAGATAGTTGTGTAACATAGGTCTCTCTTGGTGGCACAATCTGTTTAGCCTGTTCTTGACCCCATGCCAGCAGCTGTTTAGCTGCTGTAACCTTCTGTGGGATTGCATGAGAACTGACTCAGGGGCACTGCCTCTTTGCTTGGTTAGTTTTTGAGTCACACCAAGTCCTAGCCCCTTGTTCACTGCATGACCTACAAACAGCTGTCCTGGCACAGCGTAACAGCAGGAACTGACGTGGCAGCAACTACTTAAATTAGCACAACTGCCAGGAATGCTTCAAGTCCCTCAGTTTAGGTTATTGCACCTGTTTTCAGAATCCTTCATGTATACAAGGCTATGGAGCTTGGTCAATGCTCTGTTGAATTCCATGACCCCACAAAGGAAACATCAATTATGGCTATGAAATGAAATAAAGTATTTGGCCAGGTCAGTGTAGAACAAACCCTGGTGTTGCTGGCATAGTCTTTTCACAGGCTGACAGCTGCTACTTGTTTGTTCAGGCTACTTCACAGGAACACTGCTTGGGGAGGTGGCACTTCAGGGTTTTTTTTAAATGTTTAATTTTTCTGTTTTAAAGGAAAATATTGATGAACATTATCCCTTGGCTGGTCTTCCTTAAACCAAGCATTAGTGTCAGGGCTCCTGGAACCACTCAAACTAAACTCAGACTGCTATTAATAACTTATGTGAGAATGCCTGCACCTTTTTTCTGATGCCTGTTTGGCTTTGCTAGGGGTAACTCCTTTTCTATTGCAACAGTCAGAACAGAGCCTACCAGAGGAAGTTAAGGCATTCCATTCTCTTTATTTAAAGAGGAAGAGGTAGAATTAAAAATGGCAGGATTAAATCAGCTAAATCATTGATACTGACAATATTATTAAGACTGTGCTCACCTTACGGTATGGTGATAGGTTTTCCAGATACACTTTCATTTCTGAGACCTCAATTATTTTTCCTAGAGGTCTCCAATTCATTTATCCCTTTTCTGAATTCATGACTGCAGAAAACTTTCAGGTCATTGTCCCAGAGTAACAAATACTTTTATAGTATATGCTTGTTTAATCCCAATGTAATTACATACAGCTATGGGTGTGTTAGCCTTTAAACCCAAATGTGCATGTTGTAACTACAGTGTAATTAGTAATTAAGTATAAAAGGGAAACAGCCTTCTTGATGCTTCACAGCTGTGTTGGCTGTAGCCATTTTCAGAGCTGGGAGAGGAAGAAGAGAAATCTGAGTTAGTTTAAAGCACTCCTAAAATGAGTGGCTAGTACTAACTAAAGGATTCTTGTAATTGTATCTCATGACTACTTAAATACCAAAGCTGAAGACCTCATTGTCTTCCATTTGCTGTACTAGACCTGCTCTCTTTAGCTGTACACTAAAAACCAGTTATAATGTAGCCCGATGTGAGGCCCAACTTCCTGTCATGCTCTTCCCATTCCCTGTCCCCAACTTCCCACTTTGACTTCGTCCATCTTTAACATTGGTTTTGTAACAAAGTTTGCATGACTTTTTGGTGATTCTCCTAAAAATACAGAAGCCCCTTGATTTTATTCTTCCACTTCAGTACAATGTACTGGAAGTTACATCGCATTACCATTAAATGCACTGTACAAGGTATCTACATCTGGGTAACTGGTTTATTACCACTCCCCCTTACATTCACTGCTGCTAATTACCTACTACTTGTGGCTTTGGACTTTTTATTCTTCTTTAAACTGGAAAATGTAGAAGAGTTAAAATTCATTAAATTCATTAACATTGATCTAAGGTAAAATGGTACGACAAATGTAAGGAAATCGAGAAGCCAACCTCTCAAGCGATGAAGTTTCTCTGTTCAGAGAATGGATGTTATAAATAAATACAAAATTTTGAGGGAAGCATTAAATACAAATTTGGTTTATATGTTGTTAAACTAACCTAATACTAAACCTTTGCTTGCAGGTACCACAACTTCCTGGCTTTTCCTGGCTAAAGCCCTGCCTTTCAGCTTCTGATATTGTGTACATTGGTTTGAGGGATGTGGATCCTGCTGAATAGTAAGTTTAGTTAAAGGATTTTTGCTCAGGATGAAATCATGAGCTTCTTTCCACATGTCACTGTTCACAAGGGCTGCTAGGCTTAAGCTTAGGCCAGTAATGATTTTATTATTTTAACAGCTATATTTTGAAGAACTATGATATCCAGTATTTTTCCATGAGGGATATTGATCGTCTTGGAATTCAGAAAGTTATGGAAAGAACATTTGAACAACTTATGGCCAGGTAACAAACTATTATTGGGTTTAAACTACTCTTACCATCCATTGTTGAATATCGATTTTCCTGAAAGTAAGGCCTTACTCCTGATGTAAGGTGGCCTAACAGAACTGTGACTGTGTCCAGTAAATAGTGAGGTCTTAGCACAGACTTTAGTCCTCAGTTTCCACATCTTGAACTAGAACCATTTCATGGTGTTTGGCAAAAAGCTATGAGATGGGTTACACTACAGTTGTGGCTCTGCTTTATGTAGCTTGTCCTCTTTCTTGAGGAATTCTGCATTCTGCTGCAGTTTGACAAGATGTTTGAATCAACTCAGAGCCCAGGCTATACATCATACTTTTAAAATTGGGTTTGTAGCATCTTGACAGTGACTTGAATACAACTGATAGTACAGCTAACTGCATGAGGTAGTTCTACACAAGGTAGAGAAGCATTTGATAACTTCCTCCCTAGACTGTGCTCACATGTGCTGTCCTGATGACAACTGCCACTTTCAGTTCAGTTTGTGAGGTTCACTGTAACCACTTCCTTACTTAAGTTCATTTCCCAAGTCTTTGCAAACCTTAAGTCAAGGAACCAGATCAGGGAGCAAATCCTGGTCATCTAGGGGCACATGGAGAGGATCAGAGTTAGAAAGGGTAAACTCCCCACAGCATAGAACAAAGTCCTGTAAGCAGAACAAGAGCCATGTATTTGTGCTGCACACTGTTGTATCTAAAGGTGTGCTCACCCTTCCTAGCTGCAGCTCTGCCAAGTTGCTAATCCAGCTGCTTCTCCCTACTAAGCATCTGCACCAAGTTGGAAGTACACAGTCTACCACTTAAATTGACAAGCAGTGTCCAGTTTATTATAGTCAGTTGCCAGACTTCATGTAGTCAGTAACTAACATTTTAGGTTTGAAATTATCCCTCACTTTTTCATCAGCTGGGCTGACAAGGTGGAGTTTGGAGGCAGCCTTCAACTATTGACCTGAAAAGTGTGGAGTGCACCAGCTATCCTGATGAGCTAGGAAAATTTATCCTGATAGTGTAGGAAATCCTCACTTAGTGCTTCCTCCATTCTAGGTGCCATGCGAATCGCTGTTTCAGCCTTTCACCCTGGCTTTCTGTACAGAAGGAGAAAGACTGCATTATACCGGACATTTCTCTACATTTTTCCAACTAATGGGACAAATACCAGATAAAATGCTTAGAACTAAAGTACTTGTCTCTAGCCAAATTACACCTGAGTGCATGCTCAGTGAAACTAGAAAGACAAACTTGTGTTTTCCCAGTGTGTACTGGGGAAGGGTCTGAGCTAACAGATATTTCAGAGTCCAAATATACTTAAAAAAAAAAACAAACCACAAAACAACAAATCTTTTGCAAATATGTACAAGATGTGGAAAGGACCTGGGGGGGGACCTTCAACATCATGGAGCATGATGCTACTTTGCTAACCAGCCTGGACAGTAAAAAACAGAAAACATTTAAGGTTCTGAGGTTCCTTTTCTTGTTTTATTCTGTCTCAGGAGACAGAGACCGATTCACCTGAGTTTTGACATTGATGCTTTTGATCCCTCACTGGCTCCAGCAACTGGGACTCCTGTCCTAGGTGGATTAACTTACAGAGAAGGCATGTACATCACGGAGGAAATACACGACACAGGTAGGAGTTGATCAGCAGTACTGGACTAAGCAAGGGCAGGACAAACTCTGTAGAGCTCATTCATGTTGGTTATGTTTTTCCTGTGACAGTAGACAGTGAGATAAATGCAGTGATAGCCAGGGTGCCTACAAAGTCAATTCAGCCTTCAGTCAGGGAAGTAGTAATTCTAGGGTTGGGCAGTGCCCTGGGTGTTGGAAGCAGCTTAATCATCATCAACTTCACCTTACCAAAAGGAAATAAAATACATAATATATTAATACCTAATGTAAAAGAATCACTTGGTCATCTTGTACAATACTGTCACCTAAATACATGAAGCGAGATGTTAAAGTGGGCATCTGGAATACAAAAATGAATGCACATGATTTTAAACAGTTCAAAGCTCCATTCTAGGAATTGAGACTGACAAATCAAGCTTCTACTAAATACTCTGCAGTTGACTCAATATATTAAGGGCTTTCCTTCTTACGCCATGGAGGTTTTATTTTGTGTTTAAATAGTAACTGATTTGCAATAAAAGGGGGAGGGAGCGGGGGGGGGGAAGCAACCAGGAAATAAAGCTGCCCAGACAACAGTCAACAGAATTGTGAATAGCAGGTAAGACTATTCTATATCCCTTAATTTTTGTGCTGGGAGAAAAAAAGATTAAAACCCATTCTTCTCCTAAGTGTATATAGAACATCAAGCTTGTTTTTCCTGAATCCTAAAAGTGTGAATGAGTGAGGCAGTGATGATGTAAGAAAGAATCAAATTGAACTCGCAAACATGCATTTCAGAATGATAACCTCCTCCCTCACTCAAGGGCCAATTTTACTGCTCTAAGGGGTAGAGTAGGTCACAAGCTTGAATATCAGACTTACTGCAATGACTGAAAGGCTGCAAAAAAAAACTCTACTACAGATTTTACCCTTTTCCACAGTAACAAAGCTGTAAATCATTCTTGCAGGGATGCTTTCAGCTGTAGACTTGGTTGAAGTCAATCCACTGCTTGGAGCTTCTCAAGAGGAAGTGAATGCAACTGCTAGTCTGGCAGTTGATGTGATAGCAACGTGCTTTGGCCAGACAAGGGAAGGAGCACACACCGCTTTTGATGAACTCCCAACACCCAGTTCTTCAGATGAATCTGACAGTGAAGAGCAAGTGAGGATTTAAGAACCCAAAGTGTTGGGTACTGTGGACATTACAGAGCTCTGCTGAGGCATTCGAGTGGATAGATTGTCAACACTTGGCAAATACTGTTAAATTCTCAATTTTCAAATAAACTAGCTTTTCCACTGGTTGGTGGCTACTTTATTACATACCAAGATTTATTCATTTAGTTAAGTATATGCAAATTGAGACAATAAAATATTTATTACCTTCTTATTGGTCTTACCAGTAATTCAAGTCTGTCTCTGCTTTTTACTCCCATTCTCTGTCTTTCTAGTGTCAGTACAGTTTCAGTTGAAGAAGTTCATGAGACAGTTCAGTCCTCAGACAGCCAAAGGGAACAGACAGTCAAAGGGAACAGACAGCCCAGCTGGTTCCCCAATGGAGGAAGAGCTCATCTCAGTCATGAAGATTCATCTGCTGCGAAAGAACTTGTAGTAGACCAGCCCGCCTAAGATGGCCAGCTCCAGGATGATGATGATGGACAGCAGCAACTTATTAGTGGCTATTCTAGAGTTAAAAAATAAAAATACAGAAATCCAAGATAGCTGGTTTTCCCTTGGTGATGGAAGCAGATTCCAGATCATTTGATCATCGCCTTCCCTAGTTCAGCTAGACCACAAAGTGTTATTTGGATAGCTCTTAACAAGCAGACAGGGACAAACTCAGTTTCTTATTCATGTTTTCCCTGGAAGTTCTACTTAAGTCTTCTACTTCAACAGCAGCAGTTCTGTTCCTCTTGCTCCCCACCCCACATAAATCAGATCATTCATTCTGCTCTGCATTCACCTAAGCAAAGAGGAAAACATCAGTTGAACTCCTGTGCTAAAAGCTGCATTGTAGTGCTTTTACTTGGAACTGTGTAGCTGAAGTAAAACAATAAAATCTCAAAATAATGTATTTCTACTATTGAAAAGTATACAGTTGTCAGAACTTACTTTAGCAATGGGTACGAGGGAAAAGAGTGGGTTTTTTGGTGATATTTCCAATGGGTTGGAAATATCTACTGGAAATGCAGTTCAAAGAACTGGTTTATGAGGATAATTAAACCATGTAGTTAAGAAACTGTAAATGCACTTAAGCAGCCAAGGCTTTAGTCATCAAAATAGTACATGGTCAGGCTCAATTTCTCATGAGCCAGTTGAGCTACTCTAGGGCATTCCTATGGGCTAAAAAGATTTGCCTGTGTCATCATTCACTCCCTTACTGCTGCAATGATTTATGGCACAGCTTTTTCTAACCTGAGTAATAAGGATCTAAAGTTACTATTAGCAATTCCCTGTAACTTGCTTATGGCCTCACCACAGTTTATCATGCGGATGGTTTAAAGACCCCGTATTATCCCAAACAAGCAGCATAAATTCAGTAGCGCTCCGCTACCTGCACTCCTTATGTAATCGACAGAAAGAAAACAACACAAATAAACATCTGCCCCTGGGCACACATTCTGTTTGCACACTGCCCACAACTTGCCCGCAGTTCCAGCTGACTCTGTTCTCTATTTTTTGCCTGAAAGCGGCAGGCAGCAATGCCACAGCCAAGTGCTGCTCTAAGTCAGCCACAGAACTCACCTCCTGGACATGGAACGTAGAATCTTGCGGCTCTTGCTCAAGTTCTCACTTGTATTCACCAACTAAAAATAAGCAAAAGTTACCTGTCAAATCTGCACCTGGAAGTAGCTGGTGCTGAAATATTGCCATTAATAACGGGACCAAAGCTTACCAGACATTCTCAAAATTCAGACAACACTGTTCTCTACACAATACAAGCTGGAAGCATTGTCTCTTTTCTCAGGGGGAAATAAAGACTTTCATGTGTACTTTCCCTTAGATGCATACAAAGACAGACATGCAATTTGGGGTCACTTTCTGCCCTTTTAAGTAAGTTCATCTACAAACACCAGGAAGTTGGCTGGAAAGCTGCTTTCATTGGATTTCATTTCATTATTCTAGTTCTTGACATCAGGAGAAAACAATACTGAGGTGCTCTCCCCTGTAGGTATCTGGAACCTTCTGAAATACTGTTCAATTCCTGGCAAAGAAGGAACCACGTTGTCTATGACCTAGCAGCTATGAGCTCTGAACTGTTAGTAAATAATCCATTTCAGCTTTGTAATGTTCAGAAATGAACTGTCAGGTATTTCTCAGTCAGCTATTAAGAAGCACAAAACTAAGTAAGATTACAGACAACTAAAAAAGCTGTTGTCTCACAGAGTCTAGATTCATGAGGCATGGCCCCTGGAGGTCTCTGGGTAAGATTTCACTATGGCCACCATCGTATTTTGGGCCCTTCTACAGTGATAATTTTATGAGCACAGCACAGAAAGGTGGCAGACAGATTTGGTCTGTAGAAACAACAGTTGGATTACCACTACTACAGAGGTCTTCGAGAGTGATGACTGACACATGGTTCCCACTAGACTAACACTGGATACAAAGCCCACAGTTTCTCTGCTTACTCTGCTCCTGGTGCGTTCCAGTTGCTCCCGCTGCTCCCCAAGTTCTTCGATTATATCAGTGCCAATCTGATCTGTTTCAGCAGCAATTCGGTGTGAGCGCTCAATGCTCTGACTGGCCCGGTTCAGGCTGTCCGTTCCCTGGAGCAGCAGCACTCTCTGTGACTGTAGATTAGTCTGAAAAACAACATATGCTTAACTTGAGCACAAAGACAGAGACAATAGGCTTCGGACATATTAAGAAGTTAGGATGTGACTCCTTAGGCCATCCGTTTGTGTTAGCTGTATGTACTTCTGATGTTAATTCAAGTAGCCCAGTTGATTTTGAAAGAGTTCTTGTTCATGTTCTAAGATGGTAAATTTGGTAAACCTTGAAAAATTGCCTTTGCAACTATTTACTTTTCCATCAAAGAACATCTACATGAAAATAGTATCTTTGCTTTCCAGATGTTAACTTTCCTTCCATTCATATCTAAATTCAGCCTTATTTGTGACTGACTGAGTTGGTTGCCCAGGAGATCATTAAGAGTTCACAGTCAAAAGGATTAGGAACAAACAGTAGTAACAGATGGACTGCTAAGTAACAAAGATCCTCTTCTCTAGCTAAGGCTGCTGGCACGAGCTTAAGAAATGTTTGCCGACCTCAGGGCCAAAAGGTAGCTCAAAATAAAGCATTTTCTTAAGCTTCAGAAAGTCTAAACTACCACTCTGCTCTCAGGTTTAAGAGGAACCAAAAACCAAGGTACTGCAGAACAAGGTACCAAGGAGAGAATTTCCCTCAAGCCTTCCTTATCTAAGGCAGGCAAAAAAGATGCCCACCTACACGAACTTGCTGTACAGGTGACACCACTCTGATGATAAAAGTCAATTTAGTCTCACTAGCTCAGACATATCTAAGCATACCTGGTACACAAATAAACTGGTTTATTTCTTGCACTGTAGCAACATATCCATAGGGAAAAAAGTGCTAGAGCATGACTTCTTATATGTTCTTGGAATTATTTCCACTGAGATTGCTTAAAAGAGAAATCTACCAGAGAACCCATACAGTGCATGATTCACACACTTCGCCAGTTTTGGAGACTAAAAGTAGATCAGTTCAACTTTCTTCTGAGTTCATGGCATCACTTCTCACTATTCTAGGGGAATGATTAAATGAAGCACTTCAGTACACAGTATTATGTAACTTACTAACCACATGGCATTCAAGGAGCTCCATTTTGATTCTACTCCTATCTTTGTTTTAGAACAGAAAATCTCTCCTTTTGAGTTCCAGGTGTTCTTTCTCCTCCCCGAGATATTCGTGTTATGTGCAGAGATTTATGCAGGGAGTTTTACAAGCACAGAAACTAAGTAGAATGAAGCAGAAACACTCTAAATGATACCTCTGGAATTTTTTTTTACAAGCACAGCAATGTTAAGTAAAATTTATATGTAATTCTCACACTCTGTTCATTTTCTGTGGAGAAGATTCCATATCTCATATCGCCTTGACTTCCAGAGCCCAGCCCCAAATCTGTGCTTCTCATCTCTCTCTGGAACATGGAGAGGTCTCTCCTGTAGGCCCGGATTTTGCTCATCATTTGGTTGTGGAATGGCAGAGGAGCAAACTTCAGCTCTTCCTCCATTTCCCGTAGCTTTAACAGAAGAAAATGTGTTCAGTTTTTAAAGCACCAGATCTATTCTTCACAGCAGCGATCCTCAAAACTCACCATCAGGTGAAGGGATTCACATTTTTTATGTGATTGAGCAAGGGGGATTAACCCCAAACCCATATATACCCCTCATCTAGTATCGAGTACACCAATGTCTCTGCCCAGCACTGTTCAGCCCACATGGATTTTCCGACGCACAATGCTTAAAATTTAAAAAAAAAATTATTTGCCAGCCTCAAATGTGTGATTTCTACCTGAAAAGTCACTCTATAACGTCAGAATTTCCAGTTCTCACTTTCATATAGCTTATGCATCTATAGACTGGGTATTAGTTTCTCACTGTCTCTATGCAGTAGAGATCTATTACTGCAGAGGCAGGCATGGCACTAAATTCACACTCAATCTCCAGCCTGGCAATGGGAGTTGGGATTTGTAAGCCCTGGGATTCTGGATGTGTGAATTTTCACATCACCTTTCAGTGACAGTTAAATCACAAAGTCACAATGGTTAAAGCTGCCCACCAGTACCAGCCCTCACAGTATGAGCTCAGCATCTTGCACATCACCTACACAGACACCTGTCAACAAAACCCAATAAGTTAGAGCAACAGAGCATCGACTCAAAAACACAAAACCACACTAACATGAAAACAAAGCTTAAACCACAATGTCTTGCTTAAAAAGACAAGTCACATGTTGGGTTTTTTTGTACTGTTCCATGTCTCTTGTGGCCCACAAAGTCGATATTATAGAGATTTTAAATATTC